CGCGCATGCACTACTGGCTAGCCCTGAAGCCCTGTGAGTGCACACAGACAGCCCAGACACTCAAGGCTCCCTGTGTGCCCACAGGCGGACAGTCCCCACCACTGGCGCTAGCTCTGTTTTGGGCATGAGCCTGCTTTCAGCCACTACAGATGGGTGTGTGCATAGCACCAACTCTTGCCACCATTCTCCTTCCCCAGCCTCCTGGCGCTGGATCTGATGGTGCTGCTGAAGACCCCAACAGCCACTGCAGCCACAAAGAACCCTCCACGGCTCTTGCTGCCAAGGATCATGCAGCTGCTGAAGTTGTGGCCCCCAACTGCCTGAACCAATCACGCCCTCCTGATTATTTTAAATTATCCAGTCAGAGTGAGGTACAAAAATGAAAAGAACTGGGGGACAAAGCCTACAGGACTTATAGGATACCAACAAGTGAAACAATATTCATATGATGGGAGTCCCAGTAGGTGAAGAGAGAAGTGGACAGAATGCTTACTGAAAGAAACAATGGCTGAAAACTTCTCAAACCTAGCGAAATGTATGGAAATCTTGGGACATGAAGCTTAAAGTCCCCAATAACATTGAATCTGAAAAAGACTTCTCCAAGAGACATTATAATAAAACTCAAAAATTAAACCCAAAGAAAAAGTCTTGAAAGCAGCAAGAGAAAAGGAGCTCATCACATACAAGGGAACATCGTGGGCTGTCAGTGGATTCCTCAGCAGAAATCGTGAAAGGCAGAAGACAGTGGGTGATTTATTTGACGTGCTGAAAAAAAAATACCAACGAAGAATACCTTACCCAGAAAAACAAGGCTTTCAGAAATGAGAGAGAGATAAAGACATTTCCGGACAAACAAAAGCGGACAGAATTCATTACCACTAAGCCTGCCTTACAAGAAATACTAAAGGGAGTCCTTCAAGCTGAAAAACAAAGACGGCACTCACTAGGAACATGAAATCACATGAAAGTATAAATCTCACTGGTAAATACAAATGTATAAATTCAGACACAGTGATATTGTAAACTGGTGATGTACAAATTACTTATAACTCTAGTGAAAGCTTAAAACACAAATAATTTTAAAAACTACAGCTAAAATAATTTGTTAAATATACAATATACAAATATGTAAATTGTGACATCAAAAACATAAAATTGGTGGAGAAGGAATAAAAGCATTGAGTTTGGATGTAAACAAAGTTAAGTTCTTATCAGCTTAAAGCAGACTGCTATATCTAGGAGATATGTTATGTAAGCCTCCTGGTAACTGCAAAGCAAAAACATAGAGTAGATACAGAAAAGATAAAGAGAAAAAAAATCAAAGCATAGCACCGGAAAAAAACAAAACAAAACAAAAAAACAAACCAACCCATGAAATCACAAAGAAAGATGAGAAGGAGGAAAAATTGACCTATGAAACACCTGGACTAACAAAATGACAATAGTAAATCCTTATCAATAATTACTTCAAATGTAAAGGGAAAGATGAATGGATAGAGAAAATGAAATATTACTAAGCCTTAAAAAGGAAGGAAATCTTGCCATTTTAAGCATGGATGAACCTGAACAACATGGACAACACTCTAAGGGGACTAAACCAGACACAGAAGGACAGAATTTGCATGATCTCAATTATAAGTGGAATCTAGAAAAATTAAGTCAAGCTCAGGAACAAATGCTAGAATGGTAGAGGCAAATGGCAGATAGAAATCAAATGGTACAAAATTTCAGTAATGAGATGAAAAAGTTCTGGAGACTGAATATACTGCATGGTGATTATAATTGTTTTTTTAAAAGATTTTATTTATTTATTTGACAGAGAAAGACACAGCGAGAGAGGGAATGCAAGCAGGGGGAGTGGGAGAGGGAGAAGCCGGCTTCCCGCTGAGCAGGGAGCCCGATGTGGGGCTCGATCCAAGGACCCTAGGATCATGACCTGAACCGAAGGCAGATGCTTAACGACTGAGCCACCCAGGCGCCCCTGGTGATAATAATTATTAATAATGTACTATATATTTGAAATTTAAAAGTAGATTTTACATGTTTTATTCCTTTCTTCGATCTCCTGTTGGGTTTGTAGGTGTTCAGAATGGTTTGATCCCTATCCAGCTGAATTCCTGAGAGGAGACGAAATCCAGGTCTCCTACTCCTCCGCCATCTTGCTCCGCCCCCTCAGATTTTACATGTTTTAATACACACACACATCGGGGCGCCTAGGTGGCTGTCATTAAGCTCTGCGTTTGGCTCAGGTCATGATCCCAGCGTCCTAGAATCAAGCCCAGCATCGGGCTCCCTGCTCAGCAGGGAGCCTGCTTCTCCCTCTCCCACTCCCCCTGCTTGTGATCCCTCTCTTGCTCTCTCTCTCTCTCTGTCAAATAAATAAATAAATATCTAAAAAAAAAAATACACACATATACAAAGAAACTCTGGGTGGTGATAGATATGTTAATTCATTTGTCATAATCACTTCACAATGTATACACAAATCAAAACATCACAGTTAAATATATACAGTTTTCACTATATATATATATATATATATAAATATTTAAATGGTAGAAGACTGAATGCTTGCCCTTAACATCAGGAACAAGACTAAATGTGTACTCTCACCACTCTTATTTAACATCTTACTAGAAATCCTAGCTAGTGGAATAAGACAAAACAAAGAAATAAAGGCATAAGATTGGAAAAATAAAAATAGGGGTGTCCCTATTTCTAGTTCAGGTGACATAATTGTGAATGTAGAAAATCTTAAGGAATATAAAAAAGAACACCTCTGATTCTAATAAACAAGCTAAGCTAGGTTGTAGGAAACAAGATCAACAGAAAAATCAACCCCGTTTCTATACAGTAATGAGAATATGTCAAAGCACAGTAAAAACACAATAACAACTATAATCACACAAAGAAAGTGAAATACTTTAGATGTATATTTAACGAAACATATATGGCTTTCCTGTGCTGAGAACTAAATGTTGGTGAAAAGAATAAAAGAAAACCTAAATAAGCACACATTGCATTCATAGATTGAAAGACATGACAGGAAAAATACAGATTTTCCACATATCGATGGATAGGTTTAAGTCATGTATTACAAAATCCCAGCAAATATTATGCAAACATAGATAAGCTAATTCTAAATTTGTATGGAAAAGCAAAGGAGCTAAAAGACCTAAAATAATTCCAACAAAAAATAAAATGGGAGGAATCACTGTTCATGATGCTGAGACTTACTATATGGCTACAGTAATCAAGAGAGCCTGGCATTGGTGGAGGGAGAGATACAGAGATCAATGAACAGAACAGAGAATGAGAAACAGACATACACACATATAAGCCCAACTCAATTTTGATACTGCTACAAAAGCAATTCAATGGAGGACGCATAGCCTTTTCACAAATGGTGCTGGAGCAATTAGACATCCATAGGCCAAAAACAAAGATCTTTGACCTACACTTCACACCTCACAATTAACACTAAAAATTGACACAAAATGGATCACAGACTTAAATGCGAAACATAAAACCATATAGGATTTACATTATAAATATAAAACATAAAACTATATAGTTAAATGTAAAACAAAAAAGTAAATACTTGGAGAAAATCCTAGGGACTTAGGGCTAGGTGAAGATTTTTCAAACTTGATGCCAAAGTCACAACCCATAAAAGGATAAAAGGATAAATTGGCCTTGTCAAAAACAAAACAAAACTGTGTGCTCTGCTGAAAACCCTGAGATAATAAGAGACAAGCTACATACTGTGCCTATAAAAGAATAGTAAGAGGGAGACTTTTTGGTGATGGAACAGCCCTGTAACGTCATTGGGGTGGTGGATACACAAATCTACATGTAAGATAAATGTTCAGAGAACAACACACACACACGCACACAAGTGCATATAAAACTGCTCAAATCTGTTTAAGTTCTGTGACTAGAACCAATGTCAAACTCAGCTTGGACGCTGCACTATAGTTGAGCAAGATACAACCTTAGAGGAAACAGCTTGAAGGTCTCATGACATGGGACCTCCTGTGACAACTTCCTGTGAATCTATTCTTATTTCAAAATAAAAGTTTTATAAGTAACCATGTAAATTTAAAATAAATCCATGCCTACCCGCCGGTTTGTGAAGACAGAATGACATTCTTTCACTAGTACTGTTTTGATCATGTCCGGATCCGTGATAGCCAACACAGGCTGTCGCCCATCATAAAACCTGTGTGGGGAAAATAGACCTGATTACACTTAACATGACAGTTTCTGCAGTTGCAGCCATGCCTGGAAGTCTAGACTTTTATCCTGATGGTACCTAATCCATTCTCTGAGATCATGGTTAGAAAAAACATTAGAACATTTATTAAGTCTAGGTGTGTACATGGGTATTTCCTGGACCATTCTCCATAATTTTTTATATGTTTAAAATACTTAAATATTTTAGAAGTATTTCTTTTTTTTTTTTTAGAGTTTTTTTATTTTTTTTTTTGACAGAGAGAGCGAGAGAGGGAACACAAGCAGGGGGAGTGGGAGAGGGAGAAGCAGGCTTCCTGTAGAGCAGGGAGCCCAATGCTGGGCTCGATCCCAGGACCCTGGGATCATGACCTGAGCTGAAGGCAGACGCTTAACGACGGAGCCACCCAGGCATCCCTTTTAGAAGTATTTCAAACATTGCAAACAATTTATGTATATTATCAAAAAGGAAGTTAGGGTGGTAAATAACTGAAGGCAAGTAACTTATCTAAGAACAAAACAATAATGGAGAGTCCGCCTACTTAGTCACTAAAAATTATAATTTTGAAGATATATCAAACACATGAAAGGCATAGGAGAGAATATTAGATGAAAATTGTGCATACACTGATCACATATATGTAAGATGTGTCTGCAAATGAAAAGACTTGGAATGCTCAAAAAGTGATGGCAAAATTATGAATTATTTCTTTGCCCTATTTACTAAAATAAACGTCCTAGTTACATTCTAAAAGAAATATTATTTTAAATATTATAGAGGTCCTTGATAGCATTAGGTCAGAAAAATTTGAAACAAAAAACCAAAGAGAATAAAGAAATACAGAGGAACATGTATAATTCATTTTGGACATATTTTCTTTCCATTACATATATTTATTCTTATATGTGGGTCCCAGGTGTGAGTTCCTTGGACTTCCTGTAGGTGACATCCCCTAGCAGCAGGGCATGCCCACTTTTGCACGTCTCACACAAAGTTGACTCTTCATGTGTGATTCATTCCTATCCAGCCATTCCTATCCATTCCTATCCTATCCTATCTTCATGTGTGATTCATTCCTATTCTTGACTGACAATATGGCCTGTTAATGGGAATCTGTCACCAGCATGAGGTTTACTTTAAGCTTAATCACACCACCCTTTGGCATTTTGTTTTCCACAATAAATCATTTGCATTTACTAGAACAAAATGAAAGATTTCCCACAAGTCCTCTATTCCTCCTTTGATCTCATAGAGGAATTTCAAATGGTTTCCATCACATCTAAAAATGGATGAGACCACTACACTAAATGCTACCCATCTCCAAAAAGTATTCTAACACTCAGAAGTTTTTAGTGGGAAATGAGTACATTTAGTGTTGACGCAGTGATAGAAGTTACTGAGGTGGCACTTAGGTCTGCTCTCCCAGCAGCCTGATCAAATTTCTTGGATGATTCCCCTCATCCCATCATGTTTGTTCAAAAACATGTGGATGGACAAAGGACAGTGCTTTGGGGTTACCATACATATTCACGATCTCACACAGCCCTAATATTGCTTCCACTACCAGTTAAATTCAGATTCTAGGGACCCACCCCATATCCTCCACATTCAGCATTCCGGGGGATGGAAACCAAGAATCTGCATTTTTAACAAGCTCTCCCAGGTGATTCTTACCCACAGCCAAGCATGAGAACCATGTACTAAGGACAGAACTGGGGCCCACGATGTAAGACTGGCTTTATCCAGAGCTGACCAGTACTGAATGTGGGAAGGGGCAGTGGAGCTGAATCAG